ATATCCCGGGTCTCGGACTCTTTCTCTCTTCCTTTCCTTCTCTCTCTTCAAAGTTTCTCTTTATTTTTTCTTTTATTTTTTATTTCTTTCTTTCTGATTGTTGGCAACCTCCTTGTATATCCCGGGGAGATTCTTTCTTTCGTTGTTTTTTTCCTCTTTCTTTCTGTGGGGTATCAACTTTCTTTGGAGCAGTGAATTCGCATGCAGGTTTAGTCTCTGACTCCTGCAGCCCTCAATTGTAATCATGACTGTCATGAAAAAGGATTCGGTAGCTCTAAAACACTTCAACTTTTCAGTGCTGCAGTGGTTCGCTTTCACCTTTCGAATCTCGACCAGCCTACCACTTTGCGCAGGCATCTGCTCATCGCAAAAGGTTTGAAGCTCGTCGGCTGTCAGGGCTCAGAAATTCAATCAAGCTCTTGTTCAGAACGTCGACAAAAGTGAAATCCATTTCTTCGAACAGACGCCTTCTTCGACGTCTTTCATTCGCATCTGATTACCGAGATCGATTTTCGGTAGCGATTATTCTGTTTCGAATCGATGCGGTTGCTCAAGTATTCGGATGCTATAACGCCTGTCGGCCGTCGAAGAAAAGCGCTTCTCATTTACATTACTTCATCACTTAAAGCAAAACTGAACGTTTTTAGAGAAAATTGCGAGTGACGCTATCACAACGAAATTCGGTTTTAGTGTGCGATATTATTACATCTTAAATTAAATAAAACAAGATTATGTGATTGTACGGAAGTGGAGAGTGGCCGTGTGCTCCCTCGATTCATGCGTTATGTACTTGGGCAGACATGATCTCTGATCGGTAAGTGCGTGTTGTACTACCAACTGAAGCCAGTGGTTAGCTTGTACTGTTAACTCCTTTGAGAATATCATACTAAGTGTGGCCCCTCTTAGCTAGAACTGCTGTTAAGGCTCCTTTAGGAGCCTATACAGTAAATCTAGAACAGAAGGCTGTCTTGAGGAGCCAGTTCGTAGTGCGAGGAAACAGCGCGAAAACGGGACTAAGGCGAAGTAACAAAGGCAGCACAGTACTTATTCTTCTTGGTCCCGTTTTCTCAACGTATCCTCGCAGTCTCGCCCAGAGTGCTCTTCTTACTGTACATGCTTCTAAATTAGTCCTTCCTAGATTTTAAAAATGGTGTATAGGCTCCTTTAGGAGCCTGCACAGTAACATTTAGCTGAGGGGGCTAATTTATGAGTCCCTGCAGACACTCAACTCGGGGTGGTTTCGCGGCTCAACTGTTTCCGGATGAGAAAAAAACATACAATGTCCCTTACGCCTAAGATCACTGCAAGTGGAAAGCCAACTTTTCCTTCTCAGTCGATTTCGTTGATCCCACTCGCCTCCGAAAACTCTCTGTATCTATAGTTGTTTCGCATTGCTTCCCTGATTGCAGGCTCTCTGCATGTCATGTGCCTCAAGGGACGGCCCACCTACCACCAATCCATGACGTCGTGCCGCTAATTTTGATCATCTCTGACGTCAAGATGGCGTCATACAATGGCGCCATGATGTTGTCACGCGGTCGTGACGAAGACGAAAGGAGCAGACCCCCTGTTCTGATTAAACTGTTTATGTGGCCGAGGTTGTGGCCGATAAGCGTAAAGTCGGACTACACCAAGACACTGCCACTGATGGCGGCAAACAGAACGTTGGCCGTCGATCAACTGACAAGCGGCGAAGCGCGTTGGCATTTTATACATGCTGATGTGACGGAAGAGCGGGTATACAAGCTTTCATCCAGGTGCCGGCGAAGGAAGAATTCTTGGGAGGCTTCTTGCTCACGCAAAGAGCACACGATTTATTTAAATATTGACATTGTCCAGCATACTGAGTGTCGAGACGCGCCTTTACAGGAGACACGAGAGGCCTGTCACTGTTACTGCTAAAAGTTGTAAATTGCGTACTATTCCTGAACAAATCGCTGCCTTGACATTCGGTTGACCCGGTAAACAGTCAACAATGCCGTAATTTTTTTTTTGGACCCACTGAGGTCACTTTTCTGCCAGTGGCTGCTTTTGGTCGACATTGCGCTTCATGAACCTCACACGAAGCTGAAAGGCTTTGCATGGCAATGTTGAGCTGAAAAGAAGAAAAAAGAAAATTTTGCGATTCTAATAAACACTGGGACGGTCAAGGATAAGGCATCTAAACAGAGAAGAGCGAAAATGTGAACTCAGATGCACAGTCACAGTATGCCACCCTTTCCGCAGATTTCTACTGAACCATATTATTCGCCTGTCAAAACACCGACTCGCAGTGCGCGATCGCACATGTGTGTGGTGTCTTCGCCGCCCTCACCTTCGATGGCTTGATAGCTGTCGACCTTCCGAAACAAATACCGGTAGTGTCGACGTTTACCAGTTCATCCAGCTGTCGCATTGGCATAAATTACTCATCCATTTGCGACAACTGCAACTGTGTAGAGATTATCGGCCGTTTCTTGTGCCACTGTCCCAATAGGAACAAGATCGTCGCACTCTCCAGTGTGGCTTAAAGGAGAGTCGACGATCGGCCCTTTACTCAAGAAAAGCTCTTCGGAGCATGGTCTCACAGTCGATCAGCTCAGAAAGCCACACCAGCCCTCCTGCGATTCGTGAAGGCAACATCGCTGAGTGACCGCCTGTTAAACCCTGCACCGTGTGTTTGGTGTGCAATGTGTCTCTCTTTCTCTGTCTCCTTTACTCTTTTATTCCCCCGCCCCTTGAGTAGGGTTCGATCCCGCGACCTGCGGGTCAGCAGCTGAGTACCTTAGCCACTACATCACCGCGGTGGGGCGTAGTCTAGTTAACAACCCTACCTTTCCTGTATTTCTTCTCTCGCGCGGTCCGCCATGGTGGTCTAGCGGTTATCGAGATCAACTGCTGGCCCGCAGTGCGGGACCGAATCCCGGCCGCGTCGACCGCATTTTTGATGGAGGCGAAAATGCTTGAGCCCCGTGTGCTTATTTAGGTGCACTCTAGAGAATCACAGGAGTGGAAACTTCCGGAGGCTTCCGCTACGGCTGCTCGTAGTCATATGGTGTTCTTGGGACGTTAAATCCCAGATAAAGTTATCCTCCCCCCCCCCCCCCCCCCCCCGGTGGAGTTAACTTCTAAATGAACCATACTACCAGCTGCGTATTCGTGATTAAATGACTTATGCCCGGAAAAAAAATGCTGCGTAACGTTTCAGTGGTTTTCAAGTCCCTGCGGCGTCGTACTAATGAGCACATGGATATAGCGCTGTCTGGTCGTCTGTTCGCGGCTTCAGAAGGGAATCAATGGCTTGCTTCGTGCTTGTAGAAAGCACGAACAAAATAGTGTAAATAAAAGTGAGAGCAGGGGCAGGAGGGGGTTGAGTTTGTGAACGCTCTATTGTCGTCGGTATAGAAGGATGCCGAACTAGGCTCGTCGTGCGCTGTGCTTCGCCTCGCGATCCGTCCTTATTTCTAGCGACCAGCGCAAAGGCCCAACAACGAAACGCCGAAGAACTTGACAGATAAAAAAAGAAAGAAGAGGAACTACACCTGCACGAAGAGTTCGGGCTTTGCGGCGGGCGAGACGGACGGAAACGATTTAAGCCCCGGAGACGAACGACCGCTGCTGCCGCCGCGCCACATCTGGAATTCCAAGGCCGTGCCGAAGGTGATGGTAGGAGAGGCAGCTGGGTTTAACTGGATCCAATCTGGGCCCCGACATACATTACGCTCGCCGGGACCAAGGTAAGCCCGCCCCCGGACTGGGAAAATGTTGCCCGCAATGCGGGCATCAATCGCGTCGTCCCTTACCCGGGTGCCTGCGCGCGTGAGTATGCGCATTTACTCGTGGAATTTCCCAACTCGGAAGCGCAGGGGCTTCGTAACTGCTGCATCACTAAGCGTGCTTTCGTGAAGCTTTACTTCGTATCTCGTCCGTTTCTAACATTATCTTGTTCGTGCCGGATTATGTTTATGAATGACCGTTAGTTCCGTTTCAGTTTACTATGTCGCCCTCTTGTTTGCCTTCCGAGTTCAACTCCTCAGCACTTTTTTTTTTTTGCGGCAAGGCTGTTATGGTCGATGTTTGTCGTCCGTCGTAAATATAAAATTATGATCATCATAAACCGGTACGTGTTCAGTAACCACCTAAGCGTTCTGCGCAGATGGTTAACAAGAGAAGCCGACACGTGCCCGCCAGTTGTTGTGTGACTCAGCCTTGTGCGACTTCGTGGGATATGCCGATATTTTTCTCGGAGTTATTGCCAAGATTCAAGGGTGGCAGTGAAAGAAATTGTGATTTCTGTTCTTTAATTTGCTAATGTTCGAAAGACGAGGTGCACACGACGGACAATGTCTGCTACTTCTCTTGGTCCATGACACACTACCTCCGCAATGACTCATGAATACATGCGATACCTCGACTCAATTACAACTGAAGATGGCATTCATTGTGGTTACAATGATGGTAATACTATTGAGAAGAAATAACGCAACCTACATACAGGTAGAACAAGTTTACTTTGTTACACCGTGGTGTTGTTAACGCCATAGTGTCCAGATTCATAAAGACCATGGAGGGAAGCAAGCCAGCAATCGGGTCTATTGATTGTGGTACTAGACTGCTGACCGGCAGGTTGCGGGCTCGAATCCCGGCCGTGGCGGCCGCTTTTTCGGTGAAGCCGGAAATCCTCGAAGCCCGTGTACATGTTTAGGCGCAAATTTAGGTGCAGGTTTAGGCGCACGTTAAAGAGCCCCAGGTTGCCGAATTTGCGGAGTCCTCCTTGGCATCTCTCGTAACAGTGCCGTAGTTTCGGTGCGTTAAGTTACACCCTATACATTTATTATTAACTGATCAAACGGACGGGCGCATGCCGCTTTTCATGCTGTCATCTCTTTGGAAACACTCGCAGCAATTGTTATGAATGCGGGGTCAATACAAAGCGTTTGCCAATGCTGTCTGAAACTAAACACTACTGTATAAAAGCATCTGATTGCGTTGATAACCGCAATGTTTTTATCTTTATCTGCAGGACCCGTGGAAACCGGGCATTGAAACCTATACGAAGCATCGACACTCACTGACAAGGTATGATAATTTGCAGCGGAAGTCTTTCTTGTTAGCCTCCATGCCTTCTCCCCTTCCGTCTGCTGTGCCGTCGCTATATACTGTTCCGAATGATAACTGAGGGTATAGCGATCGTATTATCATTCTGGTTAGTGTTATTCCCGTAATTACCATTGTCACCATTTTTTTTTCGCTTGTCTGTGAAAGGACGTCGCGCTACTATAGCTCCTACTAAAGTGCCTCTCACCACGTAGTCTGTACTGGGATTCAGCTGTGTACAAAAATCAGGGTAAGGGGAATCGGAAGAAAGTGATATAGTTTGCTCTAATGGGCTCGCGCTTCGATACCCAACTTTGCGTAAGTAACTAAGTTAGTAAATAAAGCAAGAACAATAAGGTATTTTCGAACCACTCACTGCTGCCTGTACGGTCCCCCAAGTTCCCTCAAGCTGTTCTTAACAGCGTATTTTCCCTGGGGAACCCCAACTGTTTTGTGTTGGAAATAAAGTTCAAATATAACACGCGTGTGTGTGCCGACATAGGCTATGATAAAAAGTGTAAAGGTGCACAATCGATTACTTGATGCTGGATGACAAAGAAGCTTTTGGCATCTCAGTAAAAAGTGAAACTCACCGAAGAGTATTCGCATGGATAGACGCGTTCGCTTCACATTTCTCACTACCTGTCTTCATAATCGCGAAGGAAAGCTTTCCCAGTTATATTTTGCTGAACGCTGCGCATTGTTTGTTGTTTACTACTTCTCGGATGCTTATTTATCCCGCCCTATCATTGTTGTCTCTGTGATACTGACATTTAAATATCTTTTCCAGAGCTATATACGTTGGCAACGTTGGAGGGGGAAAAACATTTTTACCGTAACGAAGAAGAGAGAAAACTTTGCGATTCATTGAAGAGTTTTCTTTATAAATGGATTTCGTAGGCCCCGTGTTCTCAGATTTGGGTGCACGTCAAAGAACCCCAGGTAGTCGAAATTCCCTGAGCCCTCCGCTACAGCGTCTCTCATAATCATATGGTGGTTTTGGGACGTTAAACCCCACATATCAATCAATCAATCTATCAATCTATCTATCTATCTATCTATATATCTATCTATCTATCTATATATCTATCTATATCTATCTATCTATCTATCTATCTATCTATCTATCTATCTATCTATCTATCTATCTATCTATCTATCTATCTATCTATCTATCTATCTAATCTATCTATAAATGGATTTCGAAAGCAAGCATTACTTATAGCTCAAGGTTTGAAATTGAAGCAGCGCTGCGCTTCGCCTTGATGCAATCGCTTTTTATAGGAAGAAAAAAAAAAAGCCTTCGTCGACTCTGTGCGACTACCTAATCTATATTGCCTTGGAACGAGTCGTCCTTTCTATGGGTTATGTCTTTGACATGAAGTTTTTTACTGGTGCGTAACTCACGTTTCCGCCTTTAAAGACGCCAAAACTTCAAAACTATTTATTACGCAAAATGTGTCACGAATCGAATCGGAAGACGTGTTATTTTTGAGGGGGTGGGGGAGAGGAAAAAAAGAAATTATTTCTGTATATAGTTAACAAGGTTCTGATTAGTTGCTCAGTGTTGCTCAGTGGACTCTTTTTTTTTTTTTGTTCGCGTTGCGAGATCTTAAAATCACGACTTGAAGAAAAAAAAAAAGACTCCTTTAGTAGAACATATAGCTGTAACCTTATGGCTGCTCTAAGCGCTCGCACTATTCCTCGCATGTATTATAGAGACGTCAAACAAACCAGAAGAATTTTATACAAACGATCGACCTGACACCTGTCAGTTGCTTTGCCAAAGTGCGTCGGGTGTGCGAAATGGCACTTGTGTCAGGATACGAAACAAATTGCTGTCATATCTGACGTCGAGCATTGAATGGAATACAGCCTGTATGTACAATAAAAAGTGGCGCTCCTTTAACACATATAATTGGAACGACGTGACCGGAACAACGTGACGTTACTTTTCGAAAGATTACTCAATTATACCAATTCGGCCATAAAATATATCCTAAGCCCTACAAGGGCCTCACAAAGGCAAAGGAGCGCACACTACTTCGCCTTTACACCAGTACGCTGCTGTGCCCGGCAGTACTGAAACACTTTGATCCTGTCTGTGGGCATGCAGGAAAATGCCCACACTGCACGGAGACGTCTTGGGACATTTTCCACGTGTTGTGGGCATTCTAACAAGCCCCGAACCTTGCCCCAAAACAAATCCCCACTCGGGAAGACTGGGTGGCGGCCCTGCTTGCCTGCTCTGACCTGGCGAGCTAGAAGGCCCTGGTCCACAGAGCCCGAGTTGAGGCGGTCGCCAAGGGGCTCCTGTAATGAGGAGCCCACCTAGGGATCCTCCTCAAGCTTACTCCCATTGCACCGGCAATATATATATATATATATATATATATATATATATATATATATATATATATATATATATTTGTATAGGTAAGAAGACGCACGTACGAAGTTATTTTATTGACGTTTCGGCCGTGGGTCCGGCCTTCATCAGATTCTGATGAAGGCCGGACCCACGGCCGAAATGTCAATAAAATAACTTTGTACGTGCGTCTTCTTACCTATGCAAATAATATTTCCCGGACCCAGCATCACTTTTGTGTTTGGTATATATATATATATATATATATATTGTCCCGACGTCAAGAGAGAGGTCGTACTAGAAGACGCTGAGAAAACAGCAGCGGGTCGGTCTTTTTGTTAACCGCGTGAGAGAGAGTTCCTCATCTTTGTCGTTGTTGCATTCTGCATAAAAGCGTGCAGATGCGCGTATGCGCTGTCGCCTTCGTCTTTTTCGCGGGACGCACGTGACATTTGCCTCCCTCCAAAAATGGCATCGTCCCGATGCGTAGCCAAGGCACTCTACTTATAAAAACGCACATATGCACCGGCACGCACAGGACAAACGAGAGTTAGCTGGACAAGTAGGGTTTCATCCGGATAACATGCACGATTTCGGGTGCGCAGTTTCGGCGACTGGAACTGGAATCGCCGTCAGGAATAACTTCGTAGTTGATGTCGTTCAATCGTCGGGTGACTCGATATGGGCCAAAGTATCGTCGTAATAGCTTTTCTGAAAGTCCGCGTCGACGTATTGGGATCCAGACCCATACCTTGTCGCCTGGTTTGTAGGTTACCAATTTATGTCGTAGGTCGTACCGTTTCGCATCTTTGTGTTGCTGGTGACAAATACGCACGCGGGCTAGCTGTCGGGCTTCTTCGGCACGCTGACCAAATTCTTCGGCGTCAGCGTGAGTGTCGTCACACTCGTGCGGCAGCATAGCGTCCAACGTTGTAGTGACTTCGCGCCCGTGTATTAAACTAAACGGCGTCATTCCGGTAGTTTCCTGCCGGGCAGTATTATAGGCGAAGGTCACATAAGGCAAGATTTCGTCCCAGTTCTTGTGTTCTGTGTCGACATACATGCAGAGCATGTCTGCGAGGGTCTTATTAAGCCGCTCTGTTAGTCCGTTTGTTTGTGGGTGGTACGCCGTTGTTCGCCGGTGAGCTGTACCACTGAGCCTGAGAACCGACTCCAAAAGTTCTGCCACGAACGCAGTTCCTCTATCCGTGATGAGAACTGTTGGAGCACCATGCCGAAGGACGACGTTTTCTATGAAGAAATGAGCCGCTTCTGCTGCTGTGGCCCTCGGCATGGCTTTAGTTTCTATGTAGCGAGACAAGTAATCAGTGGCGACAATGATCCATCTGTTTCCTGTGGTAGAAGTTGGGAATGGGCCGAGGAAATCCATTCCGATTTGGGCGAATGGCTTTGCTGGTACTTGAACGGAATGTAATAAGCCTGCCGGCCTGCCGGGTGGTGCTTTGCGTCTTTGACAGTCGGCACATGTTTGGACGTGGTGTTTTACAGCAGCAGGTAGGTTAGGCCAGTAGTAACTGTTTTGCAGACGGGACAATGTTCGAGTGTAACCGAGATGACCAGAGGTGACTTCATCATGGCAGGCTTCCAGAATTTCTTTTCGCAGTGATGCAGGGACGACGAGCAAGTATGGGCTGCCGGTGGGAGAAAAGTTTTTCTTGTATAGGACGTCGTTCCTTAAACAAAAAGATGGCACTCCTCTCGCAAAAATTCGCGGCACGTCTTCCCGTCGTCCTTCTAAGAAATCAATAAGCGAAAGCAGGTCAGGGTCACGGCGCTGCTCTTGTGAGATAGTGGCCGCGTTGATGACTCCCAAGAATGCGGCGTCCATAGACTCGTCATTAATAGCGGCAGGCTCAACGGGTGACCGCGAGAGACAGTCTGCGTCGGTGTGCTTCTTCCCTGATTTATAAATAATGGTCATATCAAACTCCTGAAGCCGAAGGCTCCAGCGTGCTAAACGGCCGGATGGGTCTTTCAAGTTAGTGAGCCAGCAAAGCGAGTGGTGATCACTGACGACCTTGAATGAGCGGCCGTACAGATACGGTCGAAATTTGAGAACCGCCCAAACCACGGCGAGGCACTCTTTCTCGGTAGTCGAGTAGTTCTCTTCCGTGCGAGAGAGAGCTCTGCTGGCATAGGCTATCACTTTCTCGGAGTTATCTTGCCATTGTATCAGTACGGCGCCCAGGCCTACATTGCTTGCGTCGGTGTGAAGTGCTGTTGGCGCTTCCTGGTCAAAGTGTGCCAGAACCGGAGGTGTTTGGAGGCGTTGGCGTAATTCGTTGAACGCTGTTTGTTCCTTTTCGCTCCAAAGAAAGGGGACATCCTCTCGTGTGAGCCGCGTCAGAGGCGCCGCAATAGACGAAAAGTTGGCGATGAATCGTCGGTAATAAGCGCAGAGGCCTAAGAAGCGTCTCACTGCTCTTTTGTCATGCGGTGCGGGAAACTTTGCGACAGCGTCGATTTTGTCCGGGTCAGGTCGAACACCTTCGTGGCTGACCACGTGGCCTAAGAAGCAAAGTTCGTTGAAACCGAAATGGCACTTCTCTGGCTTTAAAGTCAGGCCAGCCGAACGTATAGCTTGTAGAACTGC